ACATATAATGCAATTTAAATAACGATACAAACATACATAAAATTATGGGAGAAGTGAAAAAAAAACTATGAAGATTATCAATAGAAGAAATTATACATGAATAGAGATTAATAGAGAGATTATCATAGAGGTGTACTACAAAATTATACATGAATAGAGAGGAATAATTGAAAGATTAATAGATAGGTTATCATAGAGATGTACCACAAAATTATACATGAATAGAGATGAAGATGAAGAATTGAGAGATTATTGTAGAGGTGTACCATGAAGAGAAGATGAAAAATTATAACCGAATAAAGAGAAATAATGAGAGTTAAAAGAGTACTTATTAGAGGGAACATGAATAGGTTGAAACAACCTAATTAAAGAATCTTAAATGTGAATATGAAACATAAAAAACAAATATTAAAGTAGGAGAAGCTTGAGAAAAGGAGAATAAAGATAAATCATTTTCTTGTTTTGAGAAGAGGCCACATCATTGCATGTGGTTTCTTCTTTAATATATATATATAGAAAATAGAAGAAAAACCAAAGAGAAAATAAATAAATTTAGAGATGTATAAGATAGAGATAGAAATTGAGAGGGTGTGAGAGATGAAGATGAATAAATAGTTGTTGTTAATGAATCTTAAATTCGAAAAAAGTTTATCATATCCTGTGATTATAAAATATCAAAATTTTATTCAAATTTATATGATCAAATCGTAAACACAATTTATATAATCCAATCGTAAATACAATCATATCCTATGATAACAACACATCCAACAATATTAAAAAAGAAACATGTAATAACAAATCACATTTTTTAAATGAATATAATTTCTACATACATTTTAAAATCTTTGAATTCTTCTTCAACTCTCATCTTCTTCATCCCTCACCAAAGGATTTTATATGATTTCATTTTGTTTATTATTGAAACTTTAAAAAACAAATTTCATTAAGAAATAAAAGAAAGTAAATGAAAGAGCAAATGAAGAGTTGGAGGTTAAACTTGGGTATACAAAATTACAAAAATAACCTGGGTTAACTATGAGCTATACATTTTTCATCAAGGGGTAAAAAAGTCTTTAACATATTCAACATTTAAAAAAATCAAAAAAATGAGAAAAAAGATAGGAGGGGTTCTAAGCATTAGAAGGTGCCACCTCATTACCTTTGGTTTCTTCTTTCAAAACTGTTTTAAGTTGTTTTTTAAGCTATTATAAGCTGTTTTTAATTGTTTTAAGTTGTTAAAATGTGTTTTAGGCTATTAGAACTGTCCTTTTATGCTTTTGTTAACTGTTTTGATGTTTTCCCATGTAAAATCAAAGCGGTCAACCTTGATGCATATTTGTACCTTATGGAGAAAGCACCTCATACTTGGTCTCGTGCATTTTTTGAGACGCATAGAGCCTGTGATGCTGTCGAAAATGGCATTAGTGAGTGTTTTAACTCACTATTGGTAAATGCTAGAAGAAAGCCAATCCTTACACTGCTTGAAGCTATTAGAGTGATAATGATTGAAAGAATGGATAAAATGAGAGAGAGATATGGGAAATGGGTGGATGATATATGCCCTGCTATTAGGAAAAAATTTGAGCACTTAAAGGAACAACAAAGGTATTATTTTGTCACTTATATGCTTTAGTACTCATTGTTCATAAATTCACTAACTTCTCATTTCCATGTAGATTTTGGCATGTACTTCCATGTGGGGGTGATCTTTTTGAGGTTAAAAGTGGGTTAGATGCTTTCATAGTTGATGTAGACGAAAGATCATGTACTTGTAGAATGTGGCAACTATCGGGTTTGCCATGTGCCCATGCTATGGCTGCGATCTTGTACGTAAACAAGATTCCAGAAAGTTATGTTCCAGATTGTTTCAGAAAAAGCATGTTTATTCAGTCTTACAATCATTATTTAAGACCTTTAAACGGAATCAAAATGTGGCTGAAAACCAATCATATCAGCCCCTTGCCGTCGTTGCCAAGAAGATTGTCTGGAAGGCCAAAACTTAAAAGAAGAAGGGATGCAGTGGAAAGATTATTGACTTCAACATGACAGATTGGAAGACAAGGAAGAAGAATGACATGTACCAAATGTAATGAAGCAGGTCATAACAGTAGATCATGCAAGAATGAGAAAAAAGATGCACCATTGAAAGATGTCAGACCACCGGGCAGACCTAGGACTAATATCCATAGACAAAGCAGTAAAGGGGGTACACGAGGCGGAATGGGTTTACAAAGGGATGTTAAAAAGGCAATGTAAAATCTTCGAGTTACATACTAATTTCATATATCAATTGCATACTAATTTGTTCACTAATTTGAACAGGAACCATCTAAAGTGGAATCACGACAAAAGCTCATCCCGAAAAAAAGGAGGCCAAGTGAAAGGATAATTTTGAACAACCTACGAAAAAATACCGTTGAGAAAGATGGAGAAGGTAGTAGTTGTGACAAGGCGGTTCCACTTGATTGAATAACATTGTTAGACGAATGTGAATAGGGTGGGTTTTTTTTGTTGAAAAGATGTCCACTTGTTTAGGTTTTGGTATTACAAAGTAAACTATGAAATTTATGATGAACTCGATGAATGAATGTTTTTTTTGGATATTTTTATTCTTGAAATAGTGATCTTTTATAAACATATTTAATTTATGATATTATATTTTTTGTGCATTTTGCCATTAAATTTACAATGTTTAAATGATAAAAATATTAAAATTAAAAGTATAATGTTGTAATAGAAATTTGTGATCTTATAATAAAGTAATTTTGAAAATACAATGCTGTAATAAAAAATGTCATGTCAGCATTATCGTACAAGTGGACAGCCTACGTGGACGATGAGGTGGCAAAGAAACCTGGTATAATGGGTAAATTTAAGTTAAAAGGTTACCCAATGCTATAATGGGTAAATTTTTGAAAGTATAATGCTCTAATAAAAAATATTTTGAAAGTACATTGCTGTAATAAAAAAAACTGAAAGTACAATGTTATAATAATTTTTTTTGTAAAAATAGGTTGTTATTTTGTGGATTTTGCACTAGATTATATAGATAATAAAAATATAGATGCATTCCAAACGATAAAATCATTCTAACGGATTAATCCAACCGAACTTTATTTTTATCGATTTTAACCGGTGCCGTATAATGATCTCCGGAGAACGGTGATCGCGGGGGCACAGCCGTTTATTTAAGCATTGTTTGGTGATGSTGCTTGTTTACGTTATGTGTAGTCAACGKTAGCTCCAAACACTAGATCTGATATTAATGATAATTAACACGCTCTGATTTTCACTGATCAATTGTCTGTAACCCTACCAACAATGGCGAATACGCAACGGTGGTKGATGCGAGGAGGAGGGCGCAGTAGTATAACGATTTTGTGGCAAAGATGGGGGAAGCGTGAGTGGGCCATTGCCACAGCTGGATTAGCCATCGTTCTTCTAGCTTTCTCTTTCATCATTTCATCTGATTCATCCTCCTCAGATAATTTCTTCGGCGCCACCACTTCCGATTTTGTACCACTCACTCTCTTGAGCAATGCTGTTCAAAGAGGCGCATGTAACTCTTTTTCTCTTAGTGCCTTATTTACCTGTGAAATTAGAGACACGATTGAATGTGGTGTTTAGTTTTTGATGTTCTTAAAGTCTAAAACTAATAAGAAAGGATTTAATCTAAGTAGATATAGCAATTAGCTATTAGTTAATGGTAATTTTTGTTCAAGGAGCAGAAGTAGGGTTTGCTGTTTGGATCCACTGAATCACATAAAAGAAGTTATCTATCATTCATTAATCACTAGGTCAGAAACCATCCACAATAGAACAGGAAACATCCTCTGTTCAGAAGGAAAGTTATACATTGACTTCGCAAAATCAAGTGAGTTCATATGTTTTCATTTTAAAGTTGCCCGTGAATCTAAGAAAAAAGTTGGTAACTACATTAGAAATATTAGTAACAAGTTCTACAACTTGGGAAATGGTGGTGATAAATAATGGTTTTACATTATGAAGGTATTATGCTTGAATTATAATGTCAAAGCATAGCTCTCTTTCAGAACAAAGGGGCTACAGAAAAATTAATAAACTACGTATTACTTGGAACCATTCGAGTTACTACTCCACTAATTATTATATTTACCACCATTAGCATCCTTTGGTGCAATAATATCCAAGACATGTACTGAAGAGGAGTATAGCAAATATGTGAATGTTGAGGAGGATGTGCAGACCTTTCATGCACCAGTTAGAAGAGATTTTGTGCCAAGATGAGGCCATTAGGAGGCAGCGGTAGACATTAGTAAGGATCGATATGTGAGGAAGTAGTGAAGACATATCTAAGTGGAGTATACCAACGACATAATCAGCGTTTGATAGGAGTGTGTGGAACCATGCAAATCGTGTTTTAGAAACTAAGGGGCTTGAACTTTTCTACTTCCTATTCAGTTTCATTTTTAGTCCATCCAACGAATTTGAGATAAAAGTCTTTTTTTAAATTGATTTTGTTGATGTTGAATTTGAATTATAGGATTTTGGAAGTTGACATGTAAAAATGATAACTATGTCCTTGGTTTCGGATGGTAGGAGAATCTTTTCAACCATAAACACACCTTGCTTAACTTATGTGGATGAAGCGTAACAATTACTTTTCTTCGTAACATTTCAAATGCAGATTGTTTAGATGGAACTGTTCCTGCATACCATTTTCAGAAGGGTTTTGGATCTGGCTTTAAGAGATGGGTTCTACACATTGAGGTTATTAATAATTTATTAGATGCTTGCTCCCTAACCAAACAATTGTAACTTCTATGGTTAGTAGACGTTGTTTTCTTGAGTAAAAATTGGTCTGTGCATTTATTGGTAGAGAGAATTATAATTGCCACTAAACTGCTGAGTTAGGGTGCGATAAGAACTTGCATGTTATTTGGATAGTGCTATAATAAATGCGGAAAACATGTATGGAATTGTATACATAGAATCCATCAATGCTTTTATGTGCAGTTACTTATTGTACGTTCTTGCCTGTCTACATGTCTTATACATATTGGTTGACTTGTAACATATTCCATTATAAAAAGATGCTTGAAATAAGTTGTGCCAAATTTCAAGAAACAAAAAACCTGGTCAGATTTTTTACTTTTGTGAAAGTCAAAAACAAATTTATATTACTCTTAGTTTAACCAGAAAGGCTGAGATACTTAATATTAGATATCATACTGGCTGATAATTTGCTCTCTGAGAGGTGATGTATTGTAATGATTTCTGTGAGGTGGTGATAAATCCTTTTCTATCTTGCATATGCCTGATCATTTTCTGGGTATGTCCCACTTTTTACAGCTTTCAGTTCCATGGCAATATGCTTGTTGATATATATATATATATATAGATACTCACACACATACACACACTTTACTTATGGTGATTTGTATTAGCATGTCCAGCTCCTTTCTAGTATCGTTGTATAACACGCAGGGTTATGGCCCTAAAAGTTGTGTATTGGCAAGCTGTTGAACTTATTCAAGAAAACTAGGCAATGACGTGGGAACTATGTTGCATAATATTGTCTTTTTGTAATTCTCTATTGTCCGTTCCTTGATCCGTTTAAAACTTTGGACTGTCGTATGCATGGTTTCTAACTCAGGATCTTTACTCCTAAATTTCTTGTCCTACTTGAGAACCTTTTTAGGTCATCTCTACATATTGTTAAACTCGAGAATACACCTTAGTGTTTGTTCCTTGGGGATTGTTCGTACAGCATGATTTTCAACCACAGTTGCAGCCTTAGCAATCAGTTCTGTAAATATCTATCTATTTGAACATTTTTTGCCACATCCTTCTGTACATAGGATCTGTAGTGGTCACATTCGGAGAAAGTTGGATGCGCTGCTTTTTTTATCTGATTCCTTTAGTTGAAGTATTAGGACACATCTTCACAAAAATCCAATCACTAGCACACAGGATATCCAGGAGTAATGGATTTTCTAAATTTTATTTGAAATGAAAAAGACTCCCCATGGGAATTCCGTAGTTGTTACTATTGACATTGGCCAATAATATAATCTGGAAGTGTACATACCAACATTTGGGTGATGAGCTGGAATTTGTAGTCGTATCAGAATTGATAAGGTTACAAAATTCATATCATTCTTCTGTTTAAGTGATTTCTCAGAAAGTCCCTTTTTAAGGGTCTCACTTTTGAGAGTGCTGTAAAATTTATCTTGCTGCCAGCGTCCTATGGATATTACATGTATATTATATGCGTGATGCATAATGTAGTTTTTTTTTTGTTTTCTTGAAGTATAGGATAACAAGATGAAATAAAAGGAAGAAGAATGGAAAGAATCCCACCCTGATACCCAAGTTTTTTGGCTTAACCTTTAAGTCAGAAAATGCGTTTACCGGTTATTATGGTTTTGCTAAGGATAGTCTTATATTGGTTTATGATGCATATGAGCATATCCCAGTTTTACTCTAAAAATACTTTGGAGGAACAATACAACATGTGGATGGATGAATTATCTTAGAACTAGATGTATGACAACCTTATTCTACTATTCCAATTGAGCAACTCTTTCTCTCTTAATGCATGTGCTTGCATATTATGCTATTCATTGTAAAAATATGTAGGGTACCCATCTCATCCTTTTTAAATGCAGGGTGGCGGTTGGTGCAATACAGTAGATTCTTGTTCCTTTCGTAAGAAGACCGCACTAGGATCTTCAAAGTACATGGAACACCAAGTTCAGTTTTCTGGAATTTTGAGTCATGATCCGTCCCATAATCCAGGTGAATTATGACTATTGGTGTCATTTAGATTTTTAATTTGCACATAAACCTTATAAAAAGGAAAAAGTCATCACTCTGCCGTCACTTTATGGATATTGGGCGTCTCAAAATACAGGACAAGAGTTTGTGGAGCATAGCAATGTTTAAGGTGTCGTATCCATGTGTTATCACTTGAGAACAACATGTGAACCATGCCTTGCAGTAGAAAAATTGCGAACTGACATGTATGCTTGTAAAGCCCATGAACGAACATGTGCATATTAAGGATGGGTACAAGGCGATGCCTGTTATATATGTTTGAAACATCAGAAAAAGAGGAAAAAGAAATGTCACATTTCATATGGACATCTCAAAATTGAAACTCTTGCAATAATGATGTGATAGCCAGACATCCAATTATACTACTTTTGTAGATCCTGTCATTTCTTGCTGAATCTTGTGATTACATTGCATCTTTTTCCACTCAACAATGCAATTTAAGCTCACTTTTTCTATGGCATGTTATGGTTTTGGTTTTGGAAGCATGTGAGCTCTGGAAATAGTTGGACAATGCTTTTAATGCATTAATTTTCAACATTATTGCGAGTCAATCTAACATTCTCTAATAGCAAGCATGCCTTTTCATATTTTCAAAGTTACATTAGTACTCTAATCCATCCTTCTAATTAGCCTTCTAATAACATGATGAGGGCACTTGGCAAAATCCGAGCATTTCTCTTTCTCTATCCTCATCTCTTATCATGAATTTTCCAAGTTCATCATCTCGTTTTTAGGAGGATTTAAGCATTGCTCTTTGATTAAGTACTCAAAAGAAATAAGTTTCTTCTAGTATGCTGAATCAATATTTAAAAGAATGCAAAAGAATATGGTAAGACAGCACATAATACACAATTTCTTGGGCTATGGGATTTTTTTTGTATTTGGCGAGTGGTGATGATAAACCAATCTGAACCAAACGAAACGAACCTCATATATCCCACACAAGATAGGGGGTGGGGGTGGTTAAGGACGAGTGCAGACCTTGCCTGTGCCCCATAGGATAGGAGGCTGTTTCTGTGTAGACTCTTGGCTTGCAAAACAAAAGCAAAAAGCAACGAGACAGGAGAGATAAACCAAACCAAACGTACCCAGAACATCCCCCTCGAAAGTCAGGTCGGGGGACCTTTCCTCTACCCCCAAGGGGATGATGATACTAGTAAAGTAATGATTGTTGAACCATCAACTTTTTGGGTATATATAAAGAATTTGATTTTTCTGTTCAGTTTGTCGATATATTAGAACAAGTTGAGCCTAAAGTCATCTGAACTGAATTTCTACTAGGTGATTAGCTGCACGTTTTTGTGCTTCATAATCCCCCCCCCCCCCAATTGTTTTTTCTGGGCTTGTCTCAAGAGGGATGGCTTTCATGAAGTAACTTTACACAGTTCAAAAGGTTTGGGTAAGAACTTAATTGTACAAGTTGCAGATCTTTGTATGATTTGCATTAGTTTCTCTATCCTGATATTTCTTATGGGCTGATTTAAACAATCGTTGCATTTTTATCCATTATTTAAGCATTTAATGAATTGGCACTTCTTCAGATTTCTATAACTGGAACAAGGTCAAGATACGGTATTGCGATGGTGCATCCTTTACTGGGCACCCTGAGGGTGAACAAAAAGTAAGTTCTTTACTTGGTTGGGAAATTTGTTGCAAGCATACCAGTTCAATATAAATAAATGTTCTGCCTGTTCAATACTGCTACAGAATGATTCTAAACTTTTCTTCAGAGGTCAACTCATCTGGGAAGCAATGATGGACGAACTCTTGTCAATTGGATTGTCTAATGCTCAAGAGGTACATCTGAAGGAAATATTTACATTCTGATGGGGCATGTTTAAACTAAAGCCAGTAGAAAATGAAAAGAAGAGAGAAAATTTTAACCTTTTATTTTGAATTCTGACTGCATATTGTCACAGAACCTATCTAGGATAAGAACATAATGATATGTTTTACTTAAAACATCAAATTAGGGTGATGAAACATGCAGCTGCACCTATTTGTCCACAAGTTTATGCACATGGTTATAATTACATACGGTCACCTTCATCATCATCAACAAGCATCACTCGACCTGAGCTGACATGAAGAGTAACTCTTCCCATGAGGGTGAAAAAGAACTTGACACAACAAAAAAGAGCATAGTTTATTTTTTAACAAGCTTCTTACAATTATTGCTGGTCTTCATTTTTAACTATGGAACGTAATCCTTAGCCCCTCGTGCTCAGTTAGTAAATAGATCATGGATCGTAAGTTGCTAGATTCTTCCAATAGAAGTAAGTTTTTCTGGAAGACCATCCAAAATGCTATCTTGGTTTAGTTCTGCTAATCCCTTCATTTGTTCCTATGAAGAGATTATGATGCATGTTTTCTGGGGATTGGAAAATAGTTCAAACGGGTGTGAAATCCAAACCATTTGGACACAGCTTCAACTTTTTCTTGCAAGATTCCAAAATACTGATTAGAGGAAGATCTGTGTTCATTATTGGATATGCTTCTAGATCTGTTGATGACAGACATAGTATCTATGGTTTCACAAGATCATCAATTGATATCTTCCTGCCTGAGATTGTTTCCCTTCATGTGCAATTCTTTAGGCATCTGTTCAACAAATTTTATCTTTGAGGTCATTTGGCAACTTCAATGTTTTCCTTTCCATGAAAATATTTTTTAACCTGTTGCAACCGATACTTGAGAAGCTTCTTGTTGATTACTTCACAGGCACTTCTTTCTGGATGCTCAGCTGGAGGACTGGCAACACTCATACATTGTGATGACTTCAGAGAAATTTTGCCTAAGGATGCTAAAGTCAAGTGTTTATCCGATGCAGGTTTCTTTCTTAATGAGTATGTTGTTCTACAATGACTGTTAATTGATTCTTTATTTGTGTGCAATTGGTTATACTAAACTTACATTAATTATTCATCCTTTGCATTTGTTAACATACAGTTCTTATTAAATCTTCTTAAACTTTAACACATAAAAAATGACTGATAGATGAACGCACATACTACTATGGTAGCCTTCTTATTAGTTTCAACTGGAGAAAATTAAAAGTCAGATTTTCAGCGGCAATGTTGGCAAATTGAACATAGAATAACCCTATTATCTCTTATCAGCATATTATATATGTGTGTGTGTATATATATGTAAGCCTATAAATACACATATAGATACATATGTGCATTAATGTATACCTATGAGAGAGGAGCGAGAGTGAGAAAATTTCTAATTGATTGTTAGTGTAATTTCTTATTCACAAGTGGCTTCTGAATTTTGATGTGTGCATTGAGATTTAATTAGCAATTGGAGTCTACCAGCATATGCAATGAATGAACACCTTTGAAACATCTAAAGCTGCTTGTATGTGTATGTGTATATCTATATGCTTATGTATGTGTGTGTATATGTCGATGAAATGGTGTGGTGCACCAACATGCATGGAAAAGCTTTGTCTTTTGTAAACTTTGGGAGTTCGATGGTATGTTGCAGTTGAAGCTATTACTCTTCTTGCTATTGATATTTGAGATTAGATGTCCAGATTAAATAAATGTGATGGAGTGAGATTCAGATAACTTAAAAGGTGCAAAAGGAATATGGGGGAGGGGTAGAGAGAGATGGAGGGATGGAATGTTTGAACCATTGAATGTGACAGAGTGAGGTGAACTTTTGGGAAGCTTTGATGTCTTCAGTGAGAGCTTGGGAGCAGGATGAATGTGATGGTGGAAGCTATAGGTAATGACTTAGATATCAACATCTCTGAGAAGGTCCTTTTTGGGTATTTTTTTATTCTTTTCATAGTCAACCACAGGAATGTATGTCAACATATGAGAAGGCCTCTCCTTTTTCATTTTTCTTTTTAGTGTTCAACCAAAGGGATGCTTTTTGTTTCTTTTTCTTGAGGTGTACTTGGTGCACTTAATATTCAAAAGGTAGAAATAAATGTATGTACTTGCTAGTTTATTTGAAGGTTGAAAACTTATACATCAATTTTTCTTGATTGCAGGAAAGATATTGCTGGTAATGCCACCATCCAGTCATTTTACCATGACGTTGTCCATCTCCAGGTCTGTCAGTTTATTGGTAACTTTATAGCACAAGTTCTTGACAGATTCAAAAATCTGTGTGTAGCATCTAGTTTTAAAGACATCTCAGTAACAGGAGGCTAAAAGTTCTCATCTTGATGTTGGTAACTCTACATTTGCGATAGGTACATTATGCCCATTGAACAATATACGGTTAAACCTCGATAAAGTAATACCCTCTAGACCAGGAAAAAAATTCATTTGGCGAGGTTATTTATGTAAAAGTAAAAGAATACATTATTCATTTATCGATAAATAAATGATTATTATTTTGGAGAGAGCTTTTCAATATAAAATATGTACATTGTATTTTATGTGGTAAGAAAAATCAAAAGACAGTGATCACAGTATTATTTGAATCTAGGGATGCTCAAAAGTTTTAGTGGAACTCAATGTCTCATGTACATAGCAAATTGAAAGGTTTAGTCTTTACCTGTAAAAGCTAGATGTTTGGAAGACATATTCCAAGCACAATGTTTTCCCCTCCAATCTCATCATTTGAGTAAAAAAGATCAACTTTAACTGATAAAATGAGTGGTGCAATATGTGAGCATAAGAAGCAAAATCCAACCATTACCCAAAAAGATATGCAGCATGGGTGCAACTAAAGTTTGATTTGGGTATTAGTCAATCAATAACACTAAACACCCTCAAAAGGACGTTAGAATATCTGTCAAATGCACAATAATGATAATGATAATGATCCTGAACCATATAATATGAGAGATAGGTTAACTAGTCTTGTCTGAGGAGTCGAATCCCTAGCATCCTCTCCCTAGAGACAGCTGATAGACTTTGTAGAGGAGGAGCCAACTCGGTGGCAACAGACAGGCTGACAAGCCTCAGTCCAGTAAACTGCCCCCACATCTTGTGATATATTTCGAAGCAGTAAAAAGGTTTTTATTGACTGATTCTGTGAAATGCAATGTAGTCCGTGCTGTCATCTTACTGATGTGGCCTATTGCCTCCGCTTAGCTGTTTATCTCTCTTTATTCCTGCTGAGCATGTATTAAGTCAGTCTACTTGTGGTTTGGGGATATGTGATCAATAATGTTAAGACACTGTTATATTCATGTATCATGATGTCAGGGTGCAGCAGGAAGCTTGAAAAAGGATTGTGTTGGCAAAATGGAACCATCCAAGGTGTCCTTTGTTGTCTTTGTTCTTGAAATTGAATTTTTTCCCGTATGAGCATCACAAATGATGTGAAAAAACTGATGTTTTATTTTGTTCTGTAATATTAATTCGTTGTTGCATTAACTGCAATACAGTGTTTCTTTCCTCAACAAATAGTGAAAAGCATAAGTACACCAGTTTTCCTTGTCAACCCAACTTATGATTTTTGGCAGGTAATAGTTATTATATCGTTTTCCCATTAGAGCTTTTCTTTCTTTAATCTTTCTCACCCTTTCTTATATGCATTTCTCAATTTTGTTTCTTTCTTTCTTATTAACAGATAAAAAACATTTTGGTACCTGGTCCAGTAGATCCTCTTGATGGTTGGTACAAATGCAAACTGAGTATTCACAATTGTGGTCCTGAACAAATTCAAGTACTCCAAGGTATTCTATGTATGATGTTTGGTAAAACATTGTGACTAGGTTCAAACGGGTTTTTTTTCTGCCACATAACCATTGAAGTCAATCCCTCCCACTAATAGATCTCTCTCTCTTTCTCTGAATATAAATAGATACATCAATATATACATATTGTAGAATATTTTGTATTTAGTCGGTATGTAATTCCAATAAGGAAACCAAAATTTTCAATTTATTAATATACAAAATTAGGAAATTGTGATCAGTACAAGCTAGATGCCTATTTATAGACTTCTCATCAAGTCTAAATAGATTATAGTATTTCTTCATGGTATCAGAGCAGAATTCTGAACCCTAAGTTTTTTCTGTGGTTTTCTTTCTCTTTTTCAGCCATTGAAAATCAACCATGGTCCCAACAATGACTTGAATTTGTCTGATGGCAATTCTGTCATCTCCTCTCTTAAAAAAATCACCAGTTGACCTCTCTCTTGAAAAACACTCCTCTCTCCAAAATCACCATTGATAAAATTGAATGGTCAATTTTTTGGGCAGTGCTACCTTGTATCTTTGTGGCAGGGGTTGTCTTGGAAAGTGTTTTTGGTGAAATAGTTCCTTACCCAAATTAATAGAACAAAGGGGTTGCACCTTGCTATGAATATTGCTATTTGCAAGAACTATAAGAACTTTAATCAAATTGACACATAGGAAACTATTTTTGGTCGAAAATCCACGAGATTTCATACTTCCTCTTTTAGCAAAATTTACTTTAAATTTCAAATGTAGTACTTTAAATGCGAAGTTGATGTAGACTCTTTCTTTTTTGAAGTATATAATATTTATATACGCTAAATGCAACAATTAAATTCACACACCCTCCTCACACTTTGGTGAGGTTTGAACCCCTGACCTCCCATGAAGGCCAAAGACCCTTTGGTAAGTTGATGTAGATTTGGTTGCAAACTTTATCCATCATTATCTGTATATTAATTGTAAAAAGTCCATTATGGAGTGAAGGTGATACATTATTGGTAAACTAGGCTATACTAATGAGGGTCATTATACAACAGGCTTCAGAAATTCATTCCTGAAGGCATTATCAGAATTTCAGCAAATGAAGGATGGGGGAATGTTTATAAATTCTTGCTACATTCACTGCCAAACATGGATGTCTGAGACATGGCATGCTCCAAATTCTCCCAGGATAAACAATAAGGTAATGTGAAATAGACCTTATGTATATTTTCATTATTAAAGTTCATATTCCGTAAAATATGTTGCATCTTTAAATGTTAACACTGCTTTAATAGAATTTAGTGGTTTTTATCTTATGCATTCTTTTAGGTTAGATTATGAATGTATTATCCTAATACTGATCACATTTAGGATTTAGGATTCATAATTAAGACATCATTCAATGGGTCCATGAGCCTCAACTTTTTAATACCAATGCTCTACCTCAAGTGGGAATATTCGAGAACTTGTTACTAACAAAATCAACCTGAGCTTCATCAATATATTGACAAAATGTAGATTTTTTTCTTCGTCCAATTGAAATTAGTGCTGCTGGCAGTGGCAACTTCAGTGGTGGCTATGTTCTTTTTCCTTCTTTCTTTTGAGCTGCAATGTAGATATTACCTGGAAAAACTCTTGTTAGATTCAATAGGAGAGAGAACATAAAATTGCACCTTTTATGGAAAGTTTATTTGGAAGTTTATTGGGTTAGATGTAACGAATATTTCAATAATAATAAGATAAGTAATGCTAGAATCTTCAAAATGGAGAAACTATTGGAGTTGAATATAATCTTTTTTGAGTTCTCCTTCTCTATTTAGAAAAATGGAGAAAACTGTTGGAGATGCTGTAATAAAATACATCTGTGCTTGAAACATTTTTCATTTCCGTTCCATTTACTTATACAAATTGATGCATCATCCCTTGATACAGTAATCAGTAATTTTGTTGTATATATATATATATACATATATATAATTTTGTTGTATATATATATATATATAGAGAGAGAGAGAGAAAGAGAGTTTGTGGTTTGTGGTTTCATTTTTTCAGTCAGGCAACCCTTGACATTGAGCCATTTAATTGATACTTGGGTTCCTTTTAACTAATCAATGAGAGCAGCAGGGTGGCTTTAACTGATCAACCATGCTGCATTCATGACCATCTTGCACCTGCCGAGGTTTGGTGTAGGACGACTAAGTGGTCAGAATGATTAGGAGACTCTTACAATATGATATAAAATGAAATATGGTTGTTTGGTAATTGTTCATAATGGAATTAGGGCTTTGAATGGTTTAGGGAGGTTCAAGATACAAAATCATTCAGTTGGTTTCAGAACCATTAAGAGGTAGACTTTTCTTTTGGCAAACAAAATTCACCTCTTAGCGATTCAGAGTCTACCTCTTAACGGAACTATTAAGAGGTAAAAGTCAATATAATAACTCTGTGAAGCTGAATTATAAGTGCTTTGTTTTGTTTTATTTGTGGTGGAATAGACAATTGCAGAATCAGTTGGTGATTGGTTTTTTGACCGAAGAGTAACAAAATACATCGATTGCCCTTATCCTTGCAATCCTACTTGCTACAATATGGATTTCACTGGCCGCTGAGGATGTCATCATCAAGCTTCAGCCAATGCACCATAATGGCGTATCTGCTAAGAGAACGGGATCATCATCCTCTCATTATGTGGTCATGATTGGTTCGTTGTTTCAGTTTTATAACTATTACTATTTAGAGAATTCTAATGGGTGTTGTATTGGTAAAATGAAATGAACCTCCTCTTTTTGCTGTTGTGGGTTAAAAATACATGCTTCTTATCATTTATATTTATTTTTTTTCTACTTCCCACCCAGTTTTATCAGAGACACGTTACCACCTTAGAGCTCGCTCTTGTTTTTCTCATGTCGTTGAACCAGTTGAACCTTCACAACAAAACATCAGCCCAAAACAGTTATTGCAAAACACCGAAGCTTCACATAACAAAAACACACACTAAAACTTTTGGGGAAGAATAATCTGAATGATGTTATGAAAACTGGGTTGTTTCATTTAATCCAATCCATTTTTATTCATTATCAATTAAATTACTTGGCTTTAATTATCTAAAACAAATGACATCAATAATTTTTTTTCCATCAAGTTGTTTTACCTATCATCCTCCTATATTCAAAGTACGGATAAAAGCAAAATTGAAGGTTTTGAATCATGGTTTCTAAATCGAAGGTTTTGATTTATGATTCTCAAAATAGAAATGAAAGACGCAAGTTTCTCAGCAAATTAATTAGGCGTGTGTTAATTCACGACTCTTCGTGAATCCATGACTCTGTGGTTGCACCATTGTTCGCACACCCAGACACTATGGGACTTAAACATCACCATTTAGAACCCTACATAAGAATGTGGCATAAAAATGGGTACTAACACAACATTATTCTCTAGTTGTAAACAAAGTTATACAATCATTCTCAAACACCAATGATGGGAAGCCGGGAACCTAATTAAACAAAATCAAATGATGTGAGAAAGCTTTAAACCATGCTTAAAATGAAGTTTGTAAAAAGGTTTAATGAGCGAAAAGCTTAAAATGATAATCTTCACATAATGTTTTGAATGATGGAAGTCTTATATGAGATTGTTGAGTTGTGCTTGCAGTTCCGGTATAGACACCATACCAATGGTGTCCCTCTCCTCCTCCGAGTACTCCTTGTTTAGTAGCGATTGAACTTGTTCATGTGCTTCTATAATATTCGTCCTGCATCATCACCAACCAACAACGCAACATCTCAACAATTGCAAAGTTTGATTTCACAGTCGTTGTTTGTCAGATATATGAAAAAAGTTTGTTTACGAGCATATCAATAAATCCCATGGGGCTTGAAGATAACAACCAGTGGCAACCAATGTGTAGGAGCCCTGAAGCCTAGCCTATAGTTGCGAGTGGAGCTGGTCCTCACTTGAAATCTCTTAAATATTTTGTTTCCATGCAAAATCGCACACATGATTCAAATTTTTACATGGACTTTAAGGTGTTTTTGATGATTTCAAGTTCCTGCAAAAGAAGGTTGAGAAAATGTAAACAAAAAACTTACTTGATTGGTTTGAAAAGTATTGTTCGGGTCGATGGATTTTGCAGATAAAGCTTCATCTTTCCCATCACTCTTGGCAACTCCTTCTGCATAGCTGCATTCACCTGTAGCGATCGGATAGAAAAATGAAATTCATAGGGGGATCTTATAGTAGATTGTATAAAATTGAAGTGGATGCCATCAAAAAGTTGGCATCTACAACTTTGACCTAAGTTTTTCTTTGGGATAATCCCACGGGCCCCTGAAGGTAGCAACTAGAACAGGATCGAACAAAAACTGTAGAAAATACCAGATTGCAAACCCAAGGCCTTCCCAGTTGACTATGTTATAAATAAGAAGGACATCAAACTATCAACCCAGATTTTTTCTCTTGTTGACTTGGTTTGTCAAGATTGAAACACGGATTAATGTAACATCTGATTACCTAGTCCTTTTTGAGCAACAATGCAGGGCTACAGATGTTTTGACAGAATTTCTGGTCTTAAAATGTGGGATTAGTGCGCCTACAAGGTATTATATAAGTGGGCAGAAAGCAATACTACAATTGCTTACTGTTTTTGAACACATATAAAAATTTCAGTGGTTTCTTGTGACAATGAAATTTAATAGCATACTATTGGGCCTACTCATGCCAATTGAAGTTATAATAAGCATACCTTCTGGATGATTTCAGCAACCTTATCTGGTGTAGCAAAAGCTTGATCCTTGAGCGGTTTTCCCATAGCTGAATCTAACTTTTGATTTTGAGCACCTGATGACAATGCAACTCTGACTGCTGTAACCTACAAGAGTAAATTAACTCGATGAATGTTACATGAGGTAGTTCTCTCATTTCAGTTTGCTGAGAAGAGAAATGGAATCAAAATTTGTATTCCTTTATTGAATGGATACCCAAAAAGTAGGTGACCCAGCTCTCTGGCAAGCAAGCAAGCTCAACAAGTTTTTTTCCCCTTCATGATGCACAAGGCCTGGTTCTTCCAAGCCCGTTTTCAGTAAGCAGAAAAGGAGTCAGGGCTTGCTTTGGGTGTGAAATAGGCCTGATCAGGCTATTCAGGCCAGGATATTCCAGGCTTCTGAAAAAAAGTGACCAATCGGGCTTTTAAGCCTGTCCTGGGCCTGTGCTTCGGGGCTTTATGTGCATCTCTACGTGAATAGCGATGGAAAAGAAAGATAACTAACCTTTGTAACAAAGGAAAGCATGGGATCTACTACTAGCTTAGTGATTGACATGATGAACTCCTCACATGTGGCTTTGAGGCTTTTCTCCAGCTCCTACATGCAAAAATAATCATTTCTAGCATTTATTACTGAAATAAAAAAAATACAAAAAGCAACATAACGAAAACAAATTAATAGAACACAATTTATCAGAGATGAATTATACGATCAAACAGATAAGCTGAACTTCAGTACAAAAGTTAATACTTGCTTATATATCTAGCACTAAGAAGAACCACAACTTCAGCTCATACAAAATCTGTCATGGGGAAAAAGAAAAGAAATGTTTGACATGAACTAAATTTGAGAAGAATGCAATGAGACATGGTATGCAGTTTGCAGGTGAAACCAATTTGAGATGGACTGCAATATGAATCAATAACCAGACGGTTTTAATTCCAGGTTCTTTAAACCTTTTCTTTTGGAATAACTATTTAAATAATTCTGATAACATAAAACCAACTTTAAGTGGTTTTGATTCATATGTGCTAGTAACAAATACACGACATACAATGTACGGTCACAATCTAAATGTTAACCTATCAACTTTCTGGTCAACTTTCTCTTCCTCACACTTTCAGCAAAGCCAGAGGTCTTCACGGAAAACAACTGTTCTACTCTTTGGGATAGATGACAAAATTGTGTACATGGTGCACCAAGGCTCCTAGGCTTTGCAAGGATAGAGAAGGGAAGAACCTTTTTCCATGAACTTTAGAAAAAATACAGCAAGTTTCTATCCTCAAGGACACAGAAAGTACAAGATTTCAGTTGTCTTAGTATATGGATCTAAAAGCTTCTCTAAACATTTTTCTTCAAAAATAGCCTTTTAATTTAAGAATTGATTCACACTCTTTAGCTTCTCAAATCTCATAATGAACACACACAAATATGATCTTTTATATCCAATCAAACATAAAATTAATAAACCATGAAATTAAATCAAGGTGTATTATGGTTGACTAAAAAAAGGTTGCAACCAGAAAGCCTTCTGCGTGCGTTCTACCCCAAGAAATGTTCCACATCCATCCATTCCCATCCACAAATGCTGTTACTCAATCTGATTTTTTTATAGTTTATCCGTAACATACGTGATACAAGAGAGGCGAATACCTTCACTGCAGGAAAATTCAGAGTCTACCACTATGTATATCACAAATGATATTTAGATTTAAAAAACTGGAAATAATCAACTGAAAGGAATTTGTATACCTTCTTTGCATCAATTTGACTTTCCAAAACTCGAGGCGACAATGTCCTTGCCAAAGAAGTTGATCTTGACCAATCAAATAACGAGGTCTGACCTCTAAGAATTCGTCTCAGATGCTCCTGGGTACATGTAAATAGAGACAAGTTTTTAGAAACTTCGGTCGTACATATAGACATTACACAACTAGAAAAGAAGTGATCAGCATTCAGGTACTACAAAGTCTTCTCATGAAATAAAAATCATTACAATTAACAACTATGATAATTCAATTTCTCATTTTTATTTTTTAAAAGACTCGAGCATTTCTCCAGTCAGATTCTTCTTGAAAAATCTTGTCCAGAACAGAATACTAGACATATCAAGAGAAGGCAATAAATAGATGAGAAAACACATAAGGTTTGTGATATTTATAACATGAGGATTTATGTAAGTTGGTTCCAATTTCCATATCTACAGTTGGCTCTCAATATCTACTCGGTCGAATTTTAACTGCAGTGGTAGAAATGGTGAGAATAAAACTAACATGAGGATGATGGTACAGATCATTTTTGATCTAAAAGGGTCCTTTTTTAACAAAACAAAATCAGGTAAAAATGAAAAAAGGAAGAAGGTTGCATTCACATAATTCGACAATACCCAAGTTTGTTTAAGTTGAATGTTGACTCATAGAATTACCTATATACTACCAGGTGCTACTTCAAAATCCTTGAAAGCAACTCGAGGTTCAGCTAAGATAGAAAGTATGCCTAACACTCATGGCTCCAAATCCCGTAGCATACAAGAAAAATGACATCTCAAAGAAAGCAATAATGTTGAGACATAAAAGAAAGTCCTTTGAAAAGTAAAAGAGTTGTAGGCATTCTTCATATTGCCTATCATACATAAAAGTAACATACAAAGGAAGAAATAAAAATTTTAAGAGAACAAAAAGAACACTATACTGCAATATGGAAGTGGATATGCAAATAAAAGAAACACCCAGATGGAGAAGTTCAAGCAGATACTAACCAACAAATGGGAGAAATCCAGTTCCTTGTGTGTGACTGAGAATTCAATGTCAAAAGGTGCAATCTGAAAAAACGTATCCAAAAATTAGGGGTAAGAACTAATGCAACAATGATGGACAAAGGGTAGTGGGCCAATACCTGCTCTCTTAAGATAAGAAGATGCTTAATGAGAAAGAGTTGTCCATCCATTAATGATGATCTTTTAGCAACAAGTTTGCTTGCTTTCTGCAGCAGATAAATACAACGAACATTAAAAAATGATAAAACAAGCTTTAAACTATCAGTAGCTGTGGCCGGTGAAGTTCACAGAGTAGATGACATCAACTTCCAGTTTAAATACAGATCAAATGTACATAAAAATCTAAATAATTGGCTACTAGCATACAAAGCAAAAGCAATTCAATTCACTCACTTGGATGGATAAAGAGCAAACTTCAACTGCTTCCTGAAGGATGGAGAAGAAAAGCAATTGCAATTAAAAATGCATCAAGCATGAGAATCTATGAGATGTTGAAAATCTACATCATGAGAAGTCTAGGAGGAGAACAGTATAATACCTGCGCCAAGCCAGTAAAAACTGCTTGCTCCAGACAATTATATAATTTCGAAAGACAGGATACAGTTTTCTCGAGTGGAGGGTACCAAGTCTTGAAAACATCAGAGCTCTCGTCCAGCTGCAAATTTATATAAAGAAGTGGAATTAGGCAATAAATTGTAGCATCTATATGAAATTGGAACAAGTTAATTACTTGCATTTTACTTCTCCAAACCTACAAAAAAGAGCACATTAACCATGACTAATGAAAGATGCATTATGTACTTTGTTGGCCTTTAACTATTCCACCCCATTCATCCATGTAAGCTTATAACTTTCAGCTGTTCCCATATTTTACAAATAGTTTCCCACTAGTCAATACAACGAATCACCCCCCTAACGCTAAGCTAATTTCAATGGTCATTCAAAATCCATTAAAACTGCTATAGTGGCCATGTCTGTGTCAGCAGACAGAACATTGATTTGAATATGTTTTGTCAAATGAACTAGCCATATGGGGTATTTGATGGTTATACTGTCAAGTACAAGTTTCTATCAGCAAGTACGCAAACAAGTAAAAGTACTGATAGATAGTAAAAACAGTAAAGCTAATTTCCATTGTCATCCAAAACCCATTAAAACTGCTACAGTGACAGATGTGTGTGGCAGATGACATGCCATCGGTTTGGATAAGTTTTGATCAGCAAGTACGCAAACGAGTAAAAGTACTGATAGTGAAAGAGTTAAGCTAATTTCAATAGTCATCCAAAACCTGTTAAAACTGATATAGTGGCAGATGTATGTGGCAGATGACATATAGGTTTGGATAAGTTTTGGCATTTGAGCTAGCCATCTGGGGATTTTGATGGTTATATTGTCTAGTACAAGCGTTTATCAGCAACTATGCAAATAAATGAAGTATTGATAGATAGTGGGGCAGTTTTCTCTTTTTGGAAAACATCGATTTAGTTTGGTCTGAATTGCACAATTATATCCTTTCTTTTGTTTGTGTTTTCCCAAGTTACTTGTTTGTTCAATTGAGATGAATGAAGGTTCAAGTTTCAAAACATAGGAAGGGTTCTAATTATTGACAGTAAGAGAGCTATTTATTAATCTCAATTTGTACTTGGTTTTGCGAACAATCAATTACTTGAAAAGAAAGTAAGAACATAACATAAAGAAATGTAACCATACGTTTATCGGAAAAGGCAACCCCGGGAATGGATTCACTGCCGTATGGCTGTAAACTGTTCAGTTATCAAACCACGTGACTCATTTAGCTGTTTAGCCCATGGCACCAATCCATAATTATGACAGAATAGTAAGTCAAAGATGAACCTTATAGACCATATTACAGCATATACAAGGGTGGGACCCTCGATCAAGAACTAATGTCCACAATAGAAATTGGCTGAAGATAACAAAACATATAGTATAAGAAAACTTATCAAGAAGGTGATTTAAGAACTTACAGAACTGGGATCCGATTTTGTCTCAGCTGATTGTTCCAGCTTTCCAGGGTAGTCTAGATCTTCATCCAGGGGGAGATAATTTGCTATCTGACACAAACATGCAAAAGAATTCAAACAGCACAATTGGTTATTAAATCATATCATGGTCCTGCTTCAGCAATATTACAAAGACACTAATCTGCTGCAAGATCCTACCAAATGCAGCAAATAGTTGTGTAATTTTCTTTGTTTCGCACTTCTAAGAGATATAAGAGGCAGTTTGTAAATTTGCATAGAAAGTTAGGCCTTGTTTTTGTCATTTGCTGAAAGTTAAGGGATCTGTGAGACTATTGTTGGTTTTTCTGCGGGAAACTATTTATGATCTTCCACTGGGTGTCTATCATTTTTGAGGTCTTAATGTTTTTAACAATGGCATTCTGAGAAGTTGTTCTAATGGAGGATCAAGAATGCAGCAGCCAGCCAGATGATTTGGAGGTTTATTGGTGCAGCTGCTTGAGTTTGTCATTGGAGGATTAATCAAGGTTTGTTCTTCAAGAGAAGCCACCATGTTCCTTCAAGATCCACCAAGATTTGTTGTTTAAAAGGATACTGGGTAGAAATTCGTGGTTGTTTGCAGTTTCTTGGTTTACTTGACCGATTTTTCTTGATACTTCTTAAACAATATTGTTGAGTGTGTGACTTTAGTTCTGGTAGACTTAGTTTTGTTACTCTGCCATTTTCTTTCTGTTTAGCCTATAAATAAATGGGGCTAATCATTTGTAAACTCAGTTCATTTTTCTCATCTAATGAAATTCTCTGCCTCATGCATCCAAATTTTCTCATAGATTTCCAGTAATTTCCTAACAAATTAGTATCAGAGCGTGGTGATCAAAGACACGCTTCTGTTGGTTATGTATATTTCGATTATTCCTTCTGTGATTGATCAAAATGACCTTCTTTGAAATTGCTCCTTCTGATTGCAATCTTGGCAATCAATTGCGTCAATCTTGAAGTCCGATTCAAGGCAACGGGATTCAAGGTGGAGCGGCATCAGAAATTGACGATCGATTGGTCTTTGGAATTTGAAATTGACGATCGATTGGGAAGCGTATCTAAAATTAGTGATCGATTGGAGTCTGGCAATTCAAATTGGTGATCGATTGGTGACTGGCGTTTGTAATTGGTGAACAATTGGCGACTCGTGTTCGATTCTAGGTGGAGGGCGACTGGATGGTCATCGTTTGGTAATCGACTAAGGGTGTAGAACGATCAGAATTGGTTTTCTTATGTCCTTCTTTGCGATCAGGATGCCTCCACAAATGATCAAGACCGACAAGTTTACTGGGAAGAATAATTTCAGCTTATGGCGAATTAAGATGAGAGCTCTCCTAAAACAAGGAGTTTGGACTCCCTTGCCTGTGAAAGACCTGCAAATATGGCTGACACTGAGTTTAATCAACAAGATGAGAAGGCTCACATCACCATCTTGTTGTCCTTGGCCGATGAAGTGATTTACGAGGACGCAGATGAGGAGACTGCCGCATCTTTATGGATGAAACTTGAAAGTCTCTACATGACAAAGTCTTTAACAAACAAGTTGTTGTTAAAGCAAATGTTATTTTCGCTTTGAATGAAGGAGGGGATGCCATTGAAGGAACATCTTGACGAGTTAAACTCCATTCTTATGGATTTAAAGAATGTTGAGGTCAAGGTTGAAGATGAGGATGTTGCCCTCATTTTATTGGTTTCATTGCCACCCTCATACGAAATTTTGTCAACTCATTTGTAGTTGGAAGGGACACAATTACTTTGGAAGAAGTTCGATCAAGTTTGCATTCACGAGAATTGCACCATAAAGCTTCCAGAAATGGAATGGAAAGTCAATCTGTTGGCTTGTCAGTGGTAAATGAAGGTAGAGAAAAGGGTCGAGAGAAAGGTAAAGGCAAGTGAAAAGGAAGAAGTCAATCAAGATCTAAGAGTCGAGGATCGAAAGCAAGCCCGAAAGATGTATGGCATTGGTGTGGTGATTTTGGACATTGGAAAAATGAATGTCCGAAACGAAATGTGAAGGCATCCGCTGCTGTTGGTAAAGATGATTCAGGTTCAGAGGCCGATCTGGTTCTTTCAGTTGTTGACTCTAAAAGTCAGCAAGATCAATGGATTCATGACTCCAGGTATTCATTTCACATGACACCGAATAAGGCCTGGTTTGATTCTTATGAAAAGGTTGCAACAAGAAGTGTTTTAATGGAGAACGACGTTCCGTGTAATGTTGCTGGAATAGGTTCGGTAAGTATCAAAATGCACGACTCGATAGTGAGAACTTTGGCTGATGTTCGTCATGTACCTCATTTGAAAAAGAATTTGGTTTCTAAGGGAGCCTTAGATTCCAAACGTTTCAAGTTCAGCTATGAAAAAGGAGTACTTCGGGTCTCTAAAGGTGCATTAGTGGTGATGAAAGGAGTCAAGAAAGGTGCCTTGTATGTGCTTGAAGGCAACACGGTTGTTGGGTCAGCATCACCAATCTTTAGTTCTGATAAAAACGAGCCAGATTTGACACTCTTGTGGCACATGAGGCTGGGGCATGTTAGTGAGAAAGGCATGCTCATGCTCAGCAAGCAAGGACTTCTTGGAGGTCATAAAGTTGTTGAACTAGGCTTTTGTGAGCGTTGCATCTTTGGAAAACAAAGGAGAGTGAGTTTTTCAAAGGTTGTCCATAATACCAAGTCTACTTTGGACTATCTACATGCTGATTGTTGGGGTCCTTCACAGGTTCCCTCTCTTCATGGTGGCCGTTATTTCCTCTCAATTGTTGACGATTACTCTAGGATGACTTGGGTATTTATCATGAAACATAAGAGTGAGTCGTTTGAGAAGTTCAAAGAATGAAAGGTTCTCATTAAAAATCCAGTTGGGAAGAAGATAAAGAGGTTGCGAACTGATAACGGTTTGGAATTTTGTTCAAATGAGTTTGACTGGTTTTGTAAAGATGAAGGGATTGCAACGCACCAAACGGTTAGGCACACTCCACAGCAAAATGGAGTGGCCGAAAGGATGAATAGAACGCTGCTAGTTAGATGTGTGCTGTCAAATGCAGAGCTGTCTAGAGGTTTTTGGGCTGAGGCGTTAAACACGGTTTGTTACCTGGTGAATAGGTCTCCGGCAACAACAATTGGTTGTAAAACTCCTATTCAAATGTGGTCCGGTAAGCCAATTGATTACACAAATTTACAGGTGTTTGGTCCTCCCTCTCTCTCACTCTCTACATATATATATATATATACACACACACACACAAAGTTACACACAACTCGAATATGCAGCAAGTACAAGCCTCCAATGCAGCAACCAATAGCACTTTGATAGAGGCAGAAGGGAGATGGTAAGACGGGTTCCAAGCGTGAGCCGTGAGGGAGAAGTTCTAAGATCTGGGTATTTATAGAGGAGGTTTGAAGTACTTAGGACCGGGTAATAAATATTAGGATTTAACATATGTCATCTATTTCATAACTCTTTATAAGAAGTCTAGAAGAGAGAAGATGAGAAAGTTATTTAATATAATGGTTTGACTAGATATTTAATAACTATTTAGGAGACACGACTAGGCTCACAAGGCGCCTCAGCCAAAGTTCTATGCCTTAGTGAGCCTCGTGATTCGTGAATATGCCTAGCCTCAGACTTTAAAAAAGCCCAAGACCTTGAGCCTTATGACCCTCAGAGCCTAGACACGCCTCAAGCGCTTTTAACAACTATGAGCGCAATAGTGGCTCTAATACCAACTGGAGCAGCACGATATTGTCTGGATGTTTTATGCCTGGATCTGTTGATTTGTGATGAATACCAAACCATAATGGACACGCAGGTTCGTTGATTTAGAAAGAACGCCAAAACAATAATAACAGGAGAAGGAACTTCTCCAACTTTTATTATAAGAAACTATCCTCCAATGAGAAGATAATCGAACTATCGATAAAAGAAAAAAGGAGTCCTAACTAGATAAGGATGCTAACTAAATAAGGAAAAGTCTAAAAGGAGTCTTAAAGCAATACATAATCGACATCACTTATTATAATTCTCCACCCTTACGCCGCATCAAATGGCTCCTTGAGATTTTTGGTAACTTCATGACAGAATTTGGGTGGTACAGCCAACTCTATCCCAATCAAACAATAACCAAATAGGGAAAGCCCACTTCCCTCGGATGTAGTTGATTACTTTTTAAACCCAAATTGTAGCCCTAATAGCTTGTAACTGACGTACTAATCCATCATCTATCAAAGAGTAAACTAGTTATTGAATTAGAAAATTAAATCAATCACGTACTAAAGGATATAGCTATTGGGTGTAATACGAATTCAAATATGAGAAGAACAGAAAAGTAGAAGATGGATAGAAACAAAGGTTTGATTGCAATTAAAAAACAGAAAATTACTAAAACAGAGATGATCACCGAACCAGGGAAACTTCCCTCTCTCAAGCGAGGAGCTATGAGCCACAAGTAACTATTTAGAAAAATAACCGAATGCCTACAAGCTAAAGGTATCCCCCCCTATTTATTAGACATATTCCCAAGGTAAAACTAAACCTTATCCTTTCTTGGACCGTCTTGCATATACCTTCAAAACTTTGGGCTTGGGTAAAACATCCAATTTAGGAGGATTCGTAACACGGTGTATAATTCAACAGAAACTGAAGATTGTTTTAAGGTTTAAAAAAGACATGAGCTTGGGAAGAATTTTAATCCATCAGCCACAAATGATTTTGAATGGGGTAACAAATGGACCAATAACGATGATGAAGTCATTCATTCTGATGAGGATTTAATATGATATGATGTTTGATTTGGCCATGGGTGCTTCTAACACCGAATGAGGGTTTGCAAACATCTGAGGAATGCTCATAGAGGTCACACTAAATTTGCTATCTGCACTGAAGCATTTGTTGTTCCACTTCACAAGAATCAATGTTGAAAGATCCCAACACAAATGGTCAAGAAATAACCGAGGGTAACCAAGACTCCCTTTCAAATGATGATGCGGCCATGAAAGATGATTATGATGCCACCTAAAACTTAAAAATGAGAATAAAGTTGGCAAGCAGAGATGGATATGACCTTACTTTTAACAACTATGCTTAGCTATTAGCTTATCTTGTGTGCTATGACTTTGATGATACATTATTATCTATGTAAGACTTTCTTTAGTAAAATATGGGAATGTTTTTGTTGTATTTAATACCTAACATTTTATATTTGTTGGATTATTTGCATTGGATGGTGTTGTATAATTTTTGTGATTATTGTCTAATGCATACACATGAAAATAGCAAAAACAATGACATTGGTCGAAGTACAAACAATAATTGGGCATCATGCCGCCATGGATCCTGGTGTAAGCTACCGCCGTGACTCATTGTGGTGCCGTGAAAATTATACTGTCATGTCACCTTGGATTAGATAGGAATTAAACAAAAGGGCGTAAATAGTTTCTTAAAGCCAGTTAATGAACCAAGGAGATAACAGCTCATTAATTTTTTGTTTTGAAATAATATCTACATAAAGGAGGAGGGATTAAAACCAAATTCCAACAATAAGTCCCTAATGTAGGACGTATCATGCAAATTAGAGAGATATACAACATACCTCATCACGAATATGTGTCCGAGCACGGAAAGTCAACCTTTCATGAATATCTGCCAGAATTCTGTCTAATGTAGGACGTATTCCAGCCAAAGATTCACTTCGTCTGCTGAGTTGCTCACCTATGACTTCGATTTTAAGAATATCCACAAGTTCACAGAGAACATCCAAATTTGTTTCATGAATAAGCTTCGGTCGCAGTGTATCATACAAGTAAGTACATCTGCAATGCAGTTATCAAAGTGAGAGATAGCATGAATAGATCCTTAATGTAAAGCACCAGGCCTGCTAACTTCTTTGAGCCCACTAATATTATAATAGAGGAATATAACACGGGTTTTCTATACATTTGAACTTTAGAACTTGATGGACAAGATTTAAAACTTCTACTGATGAAGCCTGGTCACTATTACGGCTAAAATGGCATCACCTTCAAGATGGCAACCGATGTCCGTTAATGGTGTTTAAAGAACAATACAATCTTCAAAAGACATACATATTTCGAAAAATACATGCGTGATATGGTGTCATCAGGACTATATTATGTTTAAGATATACCCAGAATCGACAAAGTGAAAAAAGGAAAAATGGCGGATCTAAAAGAACAAGAACACTAAAAAATGAAAACGAAGACGGTGACAAATATACCAACGGCCTGAGGAGATATAAGTTACTCAATGGAACTTACAACGGATCTACCAAGGGAGCCAAACTTGAGATATCCTCTGAAGTTGATGGGAAGAAATGGTCAAACAGTTGGTGCTCAAGCTGGCAAACCTGTCAATGTGATACAAACAGACTTTCGTATTCAAAAGTAAAACCATAAAGGATAAATTAGATACACAATAGTATTCAGAATTAAGAAACCGGGGGACTGGTGCTACCCCATCAATAATTCAGTACAAAGCTGGCTCTTCAGCCTTGGTTATTAAGGTTATGCATGTGTTTTGTGTTTCTCATGGAGTACCCACAAAAAATAAATTAACTCAAAGATAATGATCCAGAGCATATATGAAGAATAGTACTTTGATTATGCATAGATCAAACATACTAATGTAACAAGAAAAATATGGCGAAAAATTCTTGATTGTGCTGCACAAAAATCCTTATTGAGAGAATAGGAGTACCTAACATGAACTGAAAAGAGAATTCAGTCTAAACTAGTATAAGATGTGTTCATAACCATGAAAAAGGGGAACATGATGCTTCTGAATGAATTATTCCTTGACCTATAATTAGGTATAACACCTTCGGTACAAAAGGGGTTTAGTTAAATATTTCAATTTATAAACAGAACAAATAAACAAACAACTAAAAAAACTTATATTCCATTTTATTTTCTGTACCTCGAATTTTGTACTATAATTGGTTCCCACCACTTCAAAACAAACAAAATCGAGGCAGAGTTATCAATTTGAAACCTTTGAGAATGCTTCAATCACATATGCCTTCATGAATGCTTCCACCACAAAGCTTATTTCATCTTATTTTGAGATGAAGCCTTAGGCAGTAACACCAACACAGACACAATGGCAGACAAAGTACATAATTAATTAACATCATGGCAGTTTCCCGTCAGATGAAGCCTTAGTGAATTTTTCAGCGATATTGTTTATTTCAGTTTATTTGTGCTGTATAAAATTTTAAGTTATCGCAAATTATAGTGTATTTTCAAACGTAATTCATCAATATCACAATATCGTTTTAACAAATAAATATTAGAACTTTTTTTGCCAAGGATCTATCAGCAAAGACCAGAATCCTAGCTCTATCAGTGTTTAGCATGTGCACATCTTTGGAGATGACGACCTACTAGTTAATGATATAGATTAACGAAATGGTTGTGTGACTGTCTACATTGTATCCAACTATTTTACATATCTGGAAGCCTTTGACGAATGGTAAAGGTGGGTTACTAATGCAACTCAAGTGTATAGAATCTTTACAAAACCGTCAGTAAGCATCTTTAATGGATATATTCAGCCTAACCCAGCACTTAAATAAGATGTCCTTCTGTAAGAAATTACAATAAGATGCTAAAGAAAAATCCTTTTAACTGGCGAAAACCACAGAGACATATCTTTACAATCACCTGCATCAAGTATGCACACCCAGATCTGGTTAATGAAGGTAATGTCTCCTTTCTGGAATATTCTGAAATCCTTTGTGATACTATGCCTTTTACCTAGATGACAAAAAACAGAAAACAATCGCAATTGCATCAAATAGAAAAAACTTGGTAAACTGACCAACATAATACATAAATGAAGGTGAAATGAATAGCTCACCAAGGATAGCCGCTGTTCACAGTATATCCTATGACATTCTGAAAGAATTTGAACATACTCTTTCCTCGAAGATCTTCTTTCAATTTCCTCCAGTACCGGTTTAAGCTGTAAATGGCTACATTAGGTTCATTCATTGATGCAGTTAAAAATAAAGCTATTTGGTGGGTATCAATAGACTCTCGTATCCATTCTTACACCATAAACCAGAGCACAAAAGCTCAAACTGCACACTAAAAATAACTCAAGAAAGAGGGTAGACCAAATTAGCTATTGACATCAACTCTCATTTCTGCTAGTTATCACTTTTGAATAGCTCTTGCTATCTTCATCAACAGTGACCCAAAAAATTTACAGGGGCTCCCATATACTAGTAACTACCTGAAGGGTTTATTGTATGTTTATGCCATCTAACTTTCATATGGTAATATCAGAATTCGCAAGGAATATCTTTCTCATGCAGAATAATAAACTCCAGTAGAGGCAGTTTGTGGAATCTCCTTGTTTTACTGATATGCTATGAGTTCAAGTATTTAGTCATGTTTGCTGACTTTAAAGCTAGAACTAAAACAGAATCTCAAGAAAATATAGGTAACTGTCCTTACCTACTTTGGTAAGAATAACTTGTCTATAACAGTTTTAAACAAATAGATAGATAAGGTAGCACTTCAGAGCTTCTCATGTTTCCAGGCAAAATAGCTTATGCTTGTTCTTATTCTTCTACCAAATATCAAATGAAGATGAATAACTTCCAAAAAAATTGCAAAGCTCTAACCATCCCACTCTTCTACCCACAGAAGCAAGTCATGCTTCATAAGCTGACAAATTGTGGAGCTACTAAAAGGGATCAAATAGAAAGTAAGCTAACACCTCACTTGCAGCTGCCTTGAAACGAACATAAATGATAGATGCCTCAACACCCTCAGACACAGCTGCTTTGTTTCCACCACTACCTCGGAGTGCTGTTTGGACCTGTCCAACAAGAAAAACAATGAAAAAATATATATTAATTTTGCAAGCATTTTTATTCTAGTAAAGTGAAAGTTCTTCAAAATAATTAGGTGGTTTACCTGAGAAGTACTACTTTTGAGAACAGCAAGGACATGAGCACGTATCATCCCCAGGGCTCGAGACTGCAATTACATTAACTTAATATAATTTTAAGAGCGTACAACCATAAAGAAAATTCAAATTAGGGGATTGAAAACTTGATTTTCAGAAGGAAAAAGGCATTTTACATACTTGAAGTTGACGAAATTTGACCAGATAAACATTGGACTCAGCATACTGAGGATTATTTTCGACATACCTGAATCTCCAGCAACATCGTTGCATTAGTATATGAAAAGAATAGTGATCCAAGTAAAATAAATGCATGTGATGGGAGGCAAGTTCATGGGGACAATAGGATGCAAAAGTTAAAATCCTCTGTTTCCAGTAAAAAAGTTTTGACCTAAATAAAGAACTCAGAGTTCTCATGGAAGGAGACAAAAGAAAGAGAAATACTAAATAACTTGAGATACACAAGCTTATGCATAAGAGCTAATGTCATGAGCACTTTACTTACGAGATGCACTCGTCAAGCTTTTTAAGCGTCGGAAGAAAGTTTTCACTTGCAACGTTTGTATTTGAAGAATAAAAGCTGGTGGCAACCTGCAATACATAGCATGAACAAAAACTGTGCCATTAGCCACATCCACAGGTGAAGGCTCAATTTATTGGAACTAGTTGCCTTAGGCTCTAAATGATTTTTACATGATATTATACATAGGAAGAGAGGATGATCCAACCTAAAGGATGCATCGGCAAGAACTACATTCCTCTAGCAGGTTGCTAGTTATATACTAGTATTCAAATGATTGGTATCCTATTCACAACTTACCTCCTCTTAAAACTCCTCATCTAGGTACTAGTCAATCCTCTTTACAAGATCATATGAAGACTTTGGTACTAGTCATTCATTTCATCCGTAGGCAAAGGTTGCCATGAAAGTAACTTCCACTAACCTAGATCTGAAACTGCAATACATAACAAAGCTTAACCAGTCACAAACGCTCACATTTTAGCCATCAAGGAGCCCTGAACTAAAGAAGTTCATACACCAAACTCAAAGAGACTAGGAAGCAGAATGGAAACAATGTCATTCCTGAGTCTATAAGGTCAACGTGAACCTAACCAGAACCAACCACCATATGAATTGGCAGCCCAAATCCTTATGTTGATGAACCATGTTTTTTTTATCCTCCATCTCTTTGTTTACAGGACTGTGGGAGGGGCTAAAGAAGGTATGCTTTACAGTGCCTACTTAATTTGCAAGAATTAACTGCAAAAACTGGGAAAAGTAGAAGGTAAAATTGGAATATGTTGTTGCCAGTGAGTTCTGTAAGGAAACGAAGAAGGGCAAATATAAAGCAGCAGGAATTGAGAAAAAATAGGAGGTAAACTGACATGTACTGTTGCCAATGAGATCTGCTAGATAATAAAGAAGAATATCTTAAATAAACTAATGGAAAAGATCTTTATCCCCAATATTGCCTGGATCTAAATATTTGTTGTAGTGTTCGGAAATCAAGGCATTCTTTTCATCCAATTAACCATTAAACTATACTGGGAAATTGATTGCATAATTTGAAAACTTGGCACCTAGATGTTAATAAAAGGCATCTGATAAACAATAGAGCATCCTAAAATATTGTTTTTGGCATGTTAAAGCAACTGCTTCGCTCTTCAAGGCCCTACATTCCAGAACAAGGTTCCAACAGCTTACAAGAAGCACACTGTGACTCGTAAAATTCACACTTACATTCTCTAATTCATCAAAATAATTGAGTTTACTGCGAAGGGATTCGGCAAACTCGATCAATCTTTGCTTCTCGATTACCTGCAATATAGAAAGAAAACATCACCCGAACACTCAGATGTGAGTAAATATATGTAGTATTATGATAAGGACTAACATTAATTTTAAAATCAATAGTTAAAGCTCAGATATGTATTAGCTAAGCCAAAATCATTAGATAATTAGGAGGTATGATCATTTGGGATAAGGTTGTCTGTTTCTACAGCAGAAAAGGCTTACAACATAGAATGTCTCTAGAGCATGACATATAATATTTATTTAAACACAAACATTTGCACCCATGTAATCCTCAGGTGGCATTCATTTGAAAGAAACCAAAAGATGTAGAGAATTCCAGGAGCACCTTCCTTCAACAAGAGGGACACAGCAAGAGAAGGCAGAGTAAGAGCTACCTTTTGTGGCTTTGTCACATGTAGCCAAAAAGGAAAGAACAATATTTTAATACTGAACATCCAGCAACAATGTGCATGGACATGGAAGTATAAGATAACTTCAAAACACCTTGTTTTTCATTAGACTAGAAAAGCCAAAAAGTGAGTGAAAAATCATTTTTCAGCTTGAAATATTTCATACAGATTATTAGCCTTTAAACTCGAGAGAAGAGTTATTAACTTCACAAAAAAAAAATTAGTCACAAACTTTTACATTATCACAGCCCCAAACAAGAGAAAAAAAACAAGCTTTAAGGGGGAAATAAACAGGATCCCACCATCCGATCACATGCGTCGTGAAGGGTTTTGGTTTTTGTTGCAACTACTTGATGTTGCATTTGCAATTCATTGAACAAATCAAGGGTTTCATCCACCTGAAAAGTGCCGTGGTTAAGTTGACTATCAGCTTTGTTATCCTAGAAAAAAATCTAACTTGTAAAATTAGAGAAGCAACAAGTTCTGTGGGAGATTTATACCTGCTGAAGAATACCATCACATGTTTGTATCCTCTCAGTTAAGGTGCTAACATATTGCTGATACTTCTCTTCTGTCTATGGAATAAATACGAATCAGATGCCAAGGGATAGCCAGCAGTTGCTCAAAGAAAAACAAGAAAACAACCGAGGCAAAAGACATGCTACTAACCTCTGATTTCATTGCTGCTTCAAGATCTGTAAACCATTTGTAAAACTGTATCAAGGTGAATGAGCGCCCATTAAGTCTTCAATGAAGTACCCTAACATTCAGTTTACAAATATAGCATCTGCTAGCTCGCTATACTTGGAATGAAATGATGAATATCTTTGTTCTCACACTACTACTCTAAAAAGTTTAATTGTAATTAATTTGAGTTGTCAACATATAGGTTTAAATACTTGGAAACTTGGACCAAGAAAAAGCACCCAAAAAGAAGAAGAAGCAGAAAGAACACATGGAAATTAAACAATATATTCAGGATAACTCAGGTCTCAATTAAGCTGGGCCTTTTGTCCTTCACTGACTAATACAAGCTTCATAAAGTGAATATTTTCAGGACCAAGACACTAAATCCATACCAGTTGTATCAAGTATGTCTTGTTAGTGCAACAACACGAGTTGACTTAATGGACGTGTGAGCTTAGAAAAGCTTTATGCTTCAAAGGATCAATAAAGCTTGGCTAAAAAAACTTCAAAAACCAAGTTCGAAAAACTTGTCCACCAAGGTAACTTGGTTCCACATGACATTCTAGTATATATCACACGCAAATTCCTCCTAAAGAATATAGCAGACACCCACAACCTACACCCCCACCATGCTCCATCTGCAACTTCTAATATAATTGAATTGCCAATATCTTCTTAAATAATCTAGGAGTGTTTGTCGTGCAGCTTGGGATAAAACAGCACCGTATATGCGGTTTGAGCATTTTCCCAAACCGTGAACCGCACTGTATATGCCTCAAACCGCAAAAAAACCGCACCACAAAATGTGGTGCGGTTTGTAACTTACGTATTTCAATCAAATAATTATAAAATTATGACTTCAGATAAATTCAAGGATAACATGTCCATAGTCTATATGGTGAAAAGTTCCAATACGTATGAAATACATGTTACATGATTAAAAATAAAATAGTCTAAAAAGTTAAATTCAAAATTCAATGATGACATGTGAGTTGTGATGTGCCCAACTGTACAAACTGAAAATTTGAAATCATGAATGATGAACTTCTTTGTCTGGAGTAAACATAAAAGGCTATTTTGGGCTTGGACTTTGGACTCATGAAAGATAAGGCTATATCTATATATATATAGAGAGATATAGATAGATAGATATATATATATATAGATAGATAGATATATATATATAGATAGATAGATAGATAGATACAGAGAGAGAGAGTGAGAGAGAGAGAGAGAAAGGTTCAGGGAAAAACCCCAAGAAAATGAAAAACTCAAGAACACCTTAATAACCATTCATTTGTACAGTATGCACATGTGCATACAAGTAATTGAAAATGTTTTCTGGTTTCTATGCATGTGTGCATGTTATGCACGTGTGCATGTTATGCACATATGCATACCGGAAAAATTACTTACAAATTAGTTGTATGCACATGTGCATACCGTACAGACAAATGGTTACTAAGGTGTTCCTCAAATTTTCATTTTTTTGCGATTTTCCCCTGAACCTGACGCTATATATACAATAAAGAGATGGATAAAATATGTGGTGCATTGGTTCGAACTGCGGTTTGAAAATTCAAAAACTGCACTGCAAAGTGCCGTTTTAATAAAAATGCAGATGCACCACAAATCCAGTGTCAGCGGTTTAGATGAACACCAATAAATAGCGTCCTATAAATCCACAAATCCATTTTCAATATTCTTAAGCACGCAAAAGAGAAAAGTAAAATTAATAAGAAATTTTGAATATAAAAGAAACCTCTTAGTATGCAGGCTAAACCAGATAGCTATATATATTGAGCGATAACTAGTGTGATTTTTTTCGCAGTAAAGTGGTGGAAAATTGACAGCTTAGCATGTATGTGGCTCAACCTCTTCACCCCCCCCCCCTTTTCCAAAAAAGTTGACAACAACAATCATAATAGAAAACTAGGGAATAATACCCTTCAGCTTATGCACTTTGGGTCCAATTAATAGGCCTATAAACTTTAATTTGTGTGAAATGGCCTACAAACCACACAACAAATTGAATTTAGGCCTACATCCCTTGATGTTGCCTAATTTCCAGTTAAAAGGGGAAAAGTGATCATTTAGCCCCTGTGTTTCTAATTTCTTTTCTTACTGCACTTTAATCATCTTCTCCGTTACACATCTCCTTCCCCATAAATCCAATCAAACAATCCCCCAGCCAGCTCATATTGCTCTCTCTATTTTCTCACTGCACTTTAATTGTGATGGATGGACTTTCTTATTCATCTTATTCATCCTTCTTCTCAATCCTGAATGGACGGAATTTTTGCCAATTGATTCATGTGTGATCTAAGGAAGAAGTCAAGACGATGCACAAGGGAGTTTAGATCTTAGGATATGTCTATTACTTCTTAAATGTTCTTTAACTATCAAAACCAAACTTTTTTAAAGAGGATAGTTGGAGCGATTCAGGTGAAATCCAATGTATATTTTTGCACCTGTAGTTAACTCCAGCTGTATTAGATAGGCTACCAACCAGAAGAATGGAGGACAACTGTGTGTGTTAATATGGTTGGTTTGCTCATATTTAGCTGGCTGAATAGAAAAAACACGCATATACATCCCTCAAAGATAAAAAAGTCCCAGCAAGTATCCAACTAGATTGAAACTCTTGATAAATCTTGGGGGAATATTTATTTCTAGGGTATGGATTATGAGAAGATGATGATAAAAGAGGTGGTGGTGGTGGGCCCTATGACTCTATGACGGATATTTAAATGTTTTATTATAGTTTGAAGTCACTTAAAAAGCATGTGACTTCATTAAGTACAATATAGGGAGTTCCATAGTAAAATCGAAAATCAGCTAAAGGTCGTGTAGGCCTATTTGCTACTGATTTTATATTCATACACAATTTCACTCTTTTTGAAGTCTATAGGTGCTACTCATTTTCTCATGTAAGTTCGTAGGCCAAAATATTTTTATTCCCTGGGAAACTACATCCAAACATAAGCCATTATACCAGATTTTGCCAAAAACTTATCACTGCTTCACTAAGTATAGAAGGCAAGGTGCATTTCAGGCTTCTGTAAATTCCCATTAGAGGCATCTATGTCTTCCTTAATGCCTTGACACTGGCCTATTTGTATAATTAAATAAACTACACATTTCATTGTGTGAAGTCCAGATTTCATACAAATCTTGATCAGATCTTCATAAAAGCTCAAGAACAAAGATGAATGAATAAGAATGTAAGATAGATTGGAGAGAGAGAATTACTTGGCTGTCAAATCAC